ATGTGTGTGTGTGTGTGTGTATATATATATTCATCCCTTTGATGTACATATATAGTAAATTTTTGCAGGAACATGTACATGTGCCATTATGAACCTATGCATGCATGCATGAAACTGAAACATTTAACATTGATCATTCACAGATACACAGATTTCAAAAGTTTTATTCGTGTACCTGTTGATTGTATTTCTAATTATTGAACTGGTGCCCTTTGTGGCGATATGAACTTAGGCGCTGGTTAGATCGACAGGCGGACGTTGACCTATGGGGATGGCATGGAGGGCATCATTCCTCACTATAGAAAAAATCTGACCCTCTGAAATTGTGACTATTAAAGCAACATACTAGCTGGTTGTATTTCTCGTCGGCGGATCGTGTTACTTCACACTATTAACTAGCATTATGGCTGCATTTCCTATCTGCAAATACTCATTAAAGTCTGTGTATACACGCAAGGAGAACGGACCACTACATCCCATTCTATGAGCCCATTCAAAAAAATCAGCAACAATATATTTTGTTCGCGATCGATACACCCTTACCTCAACGTCCCAGTCGAAGGACATATAATCGTTTGATTTATTATCGTCGCCAATGCCTAGTTCTTTAACAATAGATTTCATGCACCGGTTCATCAGATCATAGTCGAAGCTACGATGCACTGGAGGAAACCCCAAACACTCGCGCATTTCTTTAGACTGGCCTGACAGATGCAGCTCTCTTCTTGGGTATGTACTCTCCAGTTATGGTCCATTATTTGTATGTGTTCAAGTTTTAGCAAACTTGTGCGATGAGTGCTAAGTGATCATAGCATAGTGCCTCAAGAATATACATATTTGTGTTTGTATGCTATTTATATTAAACAAACTATGAAACTATTCAGTACCACTAAATATTTACAAATAATATTTTGACGTTTGCTTATAATTTGGCAGACCTCGAAAAGATATACCGTCAACACAACACTCAACCGACACAAGTTCCAACGGACAGAAACCCCGCCGAAACGAAACGGCGAAAACGGATACTCACCGGAAACCCAAAGTGAAAACGAAAACAAAAACTAAAATAATGTATTAAAAAAACTGGGGTCATACACTGGGTTCAATATACCCTGGTCCTACTGCCTTGGACTACTGCACCTGTACACGGGTCATATAGGACTGGTTGGCGTCTTTTACTTGCCGACAGTAGACGACACGGTCTTTTAATGTCTAGACTATTTGGTTAAGAAGACATGTCGCGACAGGCTTGAAACTAGATAGTTAAGAGGACATATCTTTGTCGTATACCAGCCCAGTGAAAGAGAGAAGAGCCCGGTTTGAACCCGTTGAACCCGTTGAAAACAAAAAAGTTAAACCCAGGGTTGAATGACCAAAATTGAAAAAATTATGGTAAATTTTATTTTATTGACAAATATGATTTATTATTTCACTTAATTAATGTAATAAAGAAAACAATAAAACAAAGTGAGACAAAATGACCTCAAATATTTTCTCGATGTTAATGATCGATCAAAAGACGATTACCCCCCGTAATTCATACGCAACTCCGGGTTCTTCCTTTATAACCCGTCATAATAAGTCGAAGGTTGTACCCCTTTCCGGTTCCGGTCCGTACTGTCCCGGGAGTAATCGAAAGATACGGTTTAGACTTCCCGCAGAATGGACTGATATGAATGACAGTTTTACCTCTTTCACTTTACAAATTGGTGGCACCGCTCTCGGTCTATCTGCTTCACATAACAGTGTAATCCCATTCAACCGTATGAGAATCATTTGCGGTGGAACAGTTCTTGAAGATATCCAAGACATTAATGTAATTGAGACACTTCTTGCCCGTTCTACCAATAGCACCAACCTTATTGCCGGACCTTACGGTCGAATCACAGGCCAATCCGTTGCTGCGGCTTCAAAGATTATTGCCCCTGCAACAGATGCGGTTGCCGGTGATCAATACATTTTCCGACCAAAGATTTCCGGTATTCTAACGAATGACTTAATCATTCCCCAACCATTTATGCCAGAGGTAATGATTGAGTTGCACCTGGAAAATAATGCAGTTGTATTAATGGGAACCGTTGAGAATGCTTCCGACAGTGTTTATCAAATCTCCGATGTTGCTTACAACACCCACACGATTGAATATTCGTCCGATTTCATCGATGCGTTTGAGAGCTCTCTGGCAGACCATCCGTTGCACTATTACTATACCATAGCCAGCCATTTCAATCAGAACATTCAACGGAACTTTCAAAACCGATATCAAGTTCATTTTCGGTGTTCTCAGTGTAGCATCTAGAAACCAGATTATCAAAAAAGCCAATCCAAAACCCAAAACCCAGAATAATCAAATACTGAGTTTTGGAATTAGGATTGGAATATTTCTGATATTAGAGTCATCAGAAATATTAGCGGTAGAACCGGTAAGAAATACCGGGACTCCCGCGTGTGAGGGAAACACACAAGTAAACCCTGAGTCTAGTGAAAACACAAATAAAGACTCAGTTCGGTTCGATCAGACGGGGGACTTTTCCTAGCTGAGATGACCGTACTTGAGAAGAGGTCTATTGTATCCTATTGTCTCCTACCTTTCAGCTACTCTCCATACTCTACATCAGAAATAGCTCGGATACTACGAATATCACGAAGGACAGTTTTAAATTTAACCATGCTGGTACGTCTCAGTATCAACTTTCTCTCGGTTCAACCCGTATCCTTCATGAACCTATTCGTAGTACCCGATCGGGTGGTGCTGGAGGTTAAAACAAGGTGAGCACCTGGCTTACTATTCTCAGGCTCTTTCAAATGTTAAGAGGAGCTATGATGGTCAGAATCTTGGGCAGCGACTAACGAGACACCAAATGACACAAAATGGGCTATGGGTCTAGATCTCACGGTTGATAGTGCGAAGCTTGGCGGAATTGATAGCACCATCACTTATGGAACCCCTCTATTGCTAAGCACCAAGGGCTCGTCTCTCAGGCAATTGACCATATTTACTCATTATGGGTGTGTTTTGATCATAATGCCGGACCGTTCAACACTGGTGACGTATTAATTTATTTAATTTTTAATCAATTTTAAATTAATTTCGATTAAAAATTGATTTAGCCTGATATGCGTGATTGACCAAAAGAGTACCACCCTGATTCCACAATCAATACTCTTCATATATTTTCATACCGCTCCCAAGAACTGGGAATGTCGCGATTATGCCTTGTCCGTTCGTTCCAGTTGTTATAACCGTATCCATTAGAGGTAATGTGGCTGAAGAAATGGTGCAAAATTTAGACGGCGGGCTTATATCTGCCGTATCAAACAAAATTTTACCCAATCGAATTGTCGTCTCACCAGTTGTGGGAATTTTCACTCTCACGGGTTATAGAATATGATTTCCGGGTGTGTATAGGGCAATGCCAAGATGGTCGAGGCTATAAGTGTTTACAATAAGGTCTTGATTAAAATATAAGTCCCGATTTTTTAACGGTTTATTTCGGTTGTCATTTTCTTATCTTTTATTAGTAATTTAATTTAATGTAAAAATTAATTAATTACATTAATTGTCGTCGTTGTCGCCATTGTCGGAATCACTCAATATACCGCTTTCATCATCCAGCATTTCAATATCAACCTCAATTTCGAACTTCTTATATAGTCTTTTTTCAACCATATTGGTGAAAACGAAAGAATAGGGTTGTTTAAATATATCTAAAATCACCTTCTCATATGTCTTTGTATTAAAAAATATGCTTGTATCTTCGATAATTGCGTTGATTTCTTTTTCGTTTCTTGTATTGAAAAAGGTTATATAATCTAAATTGGTCTGGAAAGCTAAGGGGTACTCTCGAAATTTCTGGGAGACGACTATATAGCTAATGTTATAGTGACTCTTATTATACACCAAACGAGTGAAATTTTTGTTGCTCTTTTTTATATTAACAATTAAATCATCTACAAGAATTAAAGTGCTATATATTTCTCTACTATTTAAACCCTCTTTTTACTCTTGATTACAATCATCCAAATCCTTGCCCAGAGTTGACAAATCTGTCCTAAAACGAGATTCGTCTAATTTCAATTTATCACCCAATGTATGATCAGACGGAGAATAGAATAATATTTTATTAAATTTCTTATTATATACTGTATTAAGAAGGTTCAGTAGTACGGTAGTTTTTCCCGAATTGGAACTGCCTGAAATTAAGAGGGAAAACCCAGTTTTTTTTTTAGGTAAGTAATCGGGAACCCCTTCGATATCGTAATTACGGTGCATTTTTTCTTTTTTGATGACGGTTTGATTTTCAAGTTTCATTTTCTTTTTCTCTTTCGCTCATTTTAATCTTAAAAGGGGTTTCTTTTTCGAGGGTGATATTCAAATTCGACTCTATCTCATTCAATTCATGCGGAAGTCGATTCTAACGTTCCCAGATTAATAATTCCCTTTTTGTTAGTGGTCTTGTATCCTGTTTTGTATGACGGGGCTCGTTATTATTCCTGGGATTATTCCCGTTAGTATTTTCAATATCACTCTCATTCTTTCTTCGGAGAGATATAGCTAAAAAATCGCCGAATGAACTCTTTATTTTAATTTTAATTTTTTGTTATTCTTTTATCTATTTGAAATAAAAATATTTTAAAAGTTTAAATTAATTCGATTGACTCTAAAATATCGGTAATAAAAGTTCTCATTGTCGTCGGGGGTTTAAAAGTGAATTTATAGGGTATATCGATAAGGGTTATTCCATTTTTGATACACATTTCTTTCTTGATTTTATCGCGGTATTGTATTTTCTTAAATACTTCTTTACCACCCCAATTTTTCACCGGTTCATAGTGTTGGATGCCTTGGTACTCAAAAAGCAATTTTCAATTCAGAGTTATAACCATAAAAAAGCAGTCTTCAAAAAACCCCGAATGGAAATATCTCTGGAATATCTCTTCAAATATCGAACGGATTCTATTTTTCGTTCTTGATAATGATAAACACTTGGAACATTTATACGATTTCTTAAAAATCGCAAAAGTGGTTTTAATACTATGCCCTTCATTACACCGAGTTTCGATTTTAATATCGTTTCCCGAGTGGTCCGTATTTTCGAGAATCTAACCCTTCTCCTCGACCAGTTTATTAATTTGGTCGATTGTTCTTCACTCTGTCATTTTTAATTTAGTCTTTATCATTTCATTTCCACCCCTTTAAATCTCGATTAAAAAATAATTTTATTTTAATGAAAAACGACATCTTACACCTTGACATATTGCGTGACCTCTGTTGCCAGGGCAAGCCCAAGTCCCATAGCATCATTCACGATTTCCTCGGCCGATCGCGGTGTTTTCCACAAGTCGCTTACATAAATCTTTTTCATAACTTTCGGTGTATTCTCCTTTCCAACCAATTTTTTAAATCCCTTTTTAAAAAGTTTGTAAAATTATTTTCTTTCTTTGGGAGTGAAAAGAAAGTCTCCGGAATCAAGACCGCTCTCGTTAATATGTTGTTCTAATATGGCGACAAGTTCCGGTTTCTCACTCAATTCGTGTTTCATAGATATTATTTGATTTTCGTTTGAAAGTCATAAATAATTATTTCTTTTGGGATTTTATTGCTATCTACAACCAGATAATTGTCCTTGTAATTTTGCATATCATTCTCATATATCAATTTTAAATTCTTGGTTCAGTTTTTCCGGTTGGTAAGAAAATATATAAGGCGAGGATTGTTTCTAAAACATCATTGCTGAATTCGGGCTCATTTAAGAATGCTTCCAGTATACGATCTTACTCTAACCACATTTTCTCCTCGGTTTTACTGTTCGGACTAATCAAATCGCGGATTATTTGGTCTTTAACCGTCTTTCCCTCAAATTTACGTGCAAAATCAAGCATTTGTAATCGCGCCATTTCTTGAACAGATCGGATGTGTGTCTGTCGTATTTTCTGTGATAACGGTTTCGTATTACCTGACAGTGTCAAAACTTTTGCAACTGATGCAAAGCGATTGACCCGCCCCTTTTCGGGTATTCCTCTATTGTTTCTATAACCTAGTCCATGTTTTCCAAAAACTTGACAGTTGTATCATTTTGGAGACCTTCATCACCTAACCCCATCTTGATATATAAATGGTTAATGGCACTCTTACGATTTTTCATATTCTCACGATTTTCAAATCCCTGCTCAAATATTTTTTTCAACATTGAATATTTTAGAGATATTTTCTTTGCCTTTTCTCTCTTTTTATCATATACTTCAACATCTACCTCTTTCTCCTCAATCTATTTTTTCGATTGGGGTGATTTTAAGGTTGTTTTTAGGTATTGGGTCGATATTTATTGCCTTGTTTCTGTCCTCTCTAACCTTTTCGGCCAACTGAACGTGTTTCTCGCTTTTCGCATTATAAGTCTCTTTATATTGAGATTCAAATGCCCTTTTTTGTCTCATAGATCTTATGATAATTTCTCTTCCGATCACGTTTTCATACTTGTAGGTCATTGTAAGTTTTGGGATAGCAGCCGTCATTCTTTCTATTTTCTTTCTTTTTTTCTTTCTCTCTTTATTGTTAAGTTAAAATAATTTAAAATTTAAAATTTTGTTTAAAAATGTTAAATTTCGATCAGGGGAGGTATAATAATAATTTGTATATCGAAATTTGGGTTAATTGGATGGAATAAACAATGTCTTTACTTACGATAATGCGACTGGTTTCGATAATCATTCGATTGATACATTCCTCTAAAAATGAAAATATTATTGATATTAATACGGATAAAATCGTTGAAATAATATAAATCAAAAGATGTGCGAGATTAAGAATGATACTGAGATTGTCGGTGATAATGACGGAATGAAATGTATTAGTTGTAATCGATGTAATAAGGAGAAGAATGAGGGTAATTTTGAAATGAGGGATAACGGGAATAGATTTAAACATTGTATCAGTTGCAGGAAGAGGGATAGTTGTATTCACTGTGGCCAGAATACAAGTACTTAGGTTTATCTAGTTATTTTTAGTTTATTACAGTTTTACAGTTTATCAGAATAATCTGATAAACTGGTTAATTAATACGGTCATTAATTTTATAATTACTAATAAATGAACAACGTCTCTTTCTCTAGTGAGGGAGAACGTTGAGATACAGTTATCCAGCGTTTACTTACTACATTTTTAATTTACTTTAGGAAGTTGTTAGTTTATTAATAATTATAAGAAAAGCTACGGAATGAGTAATAGCCGGTAGCTATATTTATTCTAAGGTCAATTTAAGAATAATAAGCACAAAGCATGTCACATCGAATTGACGAGAT